CCCTTTCTTTGGATGAAATACACTCTGCATTTAACCGTATTCTAAAACTGTGTCAAGCACAGTCATTTTCTAGTGAAATAAAGCGTTTGAACCAAAAGGGATCTTTAGATAAAAAGAGCAAACTCATAAATTTATCTCCATTTCTTGATGAGCAAGGCATAATGAGAGTAGGCGGGCGTTTAAAGCATTCCGAGTTTGCGTATGACAAAAAACATCCCATCATTTTAGCGGCAAATCATATAGTTACATATTTAATATTTGATCATTTTCACAAGGATCTTATGCATGCTGGTCCTCAGCTTTTACTCGCAACGATAAAAGAAACTTTCTGGCCGTTATCAGGAAGAAATTTAGCGCGTCGTACTGTACACAAATGTGTAAAATGCTTTAGACTAAAATCTAAATCCATTCAGCCAATAATGGGTGATCTACCTGCTCAGCGTCTCGCAGGTGGCCCACCGTTTATTGTAACAGGTGTAGATTATGCGGGCCCTTTCTTAATTCGCGATAGAAAGGGTCGAGGTTGTAAACTAATAAAGAGTTACATGTGTCTTTTTATTTGTTTTTGTACGAAGGCCATACATTTAGAATTAGTTACAGAACTGTCTAAGAAATCATTTCTGTTGGCCTTTAAAAGATTTATTGCGCGAAGAGGCAAGCCTCAAAAGATGGTTTCCGACAATGGAACCAATTTTATAGCAGCTAGTTCGGAGTTAAAATCATTAAGAGAATTCTTAGAGCAGCACACTCCCGCGATAAGAGAATCCTTGCTAAAGGATAATATTTCGTGGTCTTTTATACCTCCATATTCTCCACATTTTGGCGGACTGTGGGAAGGCGGAGTAAGAACAGTTAAACATCATTTACATAGAGTTTTGGGAAACGCGCACTTAACGTTCGAGGAATTTTATTCGTTGCTTGTGCAGATTGAAGCTATAATAAATTCCCGACCGATTCATCCTTTATCCTGTGATCCAAATGATCTCTCCCCATTAACTCCTGCACATTTTCTCATCGGAAGAATACTTATTACCAATCCAGATCCAGATTTGCGTCATATTCCAGTTAATCGGCTCTCAAAATTCCAGCATATTCAGCAGATTTCTCAGCATATATGGGAACGATGGAACAAAGAATACATCTCTGAACTACAAAAACGTACGAAATAAACTACTGCTAACGGTGAATTTGCTGAAAACACGTTAGTACTCATAAAAGAGGACAATTTACCTCCATTAAGGTGGAAGTTAGGTCGCGTGATCGAACTTATATGCGGCAGTGATGGTGTAGCCAGAGTTTTTAAGATAAAGACAGACAATGGTATCATAACTCGTTCTTTTTCCAAGGTGTGTCCGTTGCCCGGTTCGGACTAAGTGTAGTTTAAACTTTTGAACATTTAGCATTAGCAGACGATTTTGTTGGCAGTGTTTGCCAAGGCGGGGGCCATGTTCACGCCTCTATCTAATTTAAGTTTTTTATGCATTTTACAATCCGGCAACATAGTAGCGTAGGAAGATATATTATGCCATATGTGAAGATAAGGCAAGCCCCTAAAAGCACTCCAAGGGCGACAGCATCATTCAAATATGAGAAGTCGAGGCCGGTGGACACCAGCGAGCGAAACAATACTTATTAGCGTTTTATTTATGTATTGTTAATTCAATAAAGTTAGTTTTTTCACACGGAGTTTGATTATTTACCAGCGGCACACGCGAAGTGCATATCAAGTTTCATCCACGGTTTTTCGATTCTTGCCCTTCTGATTATATGCTCCAGAGCTCAGTTGAAGAGTTGTTGTGAAAGTGTATCTCCTTGTTTTAGTCCATTGTTTATTTCAAATGTCCCCGAGTATTGTTGTCCAAATCTTACCTTACATCGTAACCGTTCCATACACATCCGTATCAACCTGACTAGATTTTTTAGAAAGCCAAGTTCCTGCATCGCTATCCACAATCTGGCCCTGTCAAATGCTTGTTTAAAATCTATCAACATCTGACGAAGCTAACGATTAAACTCCCAGCATTTTTCCATTATATGTTTTATTGTCAATATCTGGTCAATAGTAGAACGGCCCGGTCTAAATCCGCATTGATAATTTCCCACGATTCCTTCTGAGTATGTTTTGGTTCTTTCTAGCAGGATGTTTGCAAGAATTTTGTAGGTGGTGTTTAGAAGTGTTATTCCCCGGTAGTTAATACATTGCTTTTTGTTTTCTTTTTTGTGTATTGGTACAATAACCCCTTCTTTCCATTCATCTGGCATTATTTCTTCTCGCCAAACGTCTTGAATTAGCTTATGTTTTAAGCACTCTGCGGGTATACCATCGCTACCTGGTGTCTTATCATTTTTGTTGGTCTTCCATTTCAGCTGTATGTACCTCTATGTTTGATGTATTTCTGCTAGATTGGTCGTTCAATAGTTGATAGAAGTATTCCTTCCAGGTTTTTAGGCATGTTCCTTCTAGCCATATTTCTTGCTGTAATGGAACTCAGGCAATCATCATCAAACCATTTTTTTTTGTTTTTTTTTCTTTTTTTGTCCTAGTATTTTATCTGATATGCTTGTCAGAGCTAATTTAATATTTTTTTAAGCTGAGTCTATGTTAGAGCAATCTAATATCCTGTCTTCTGTCTGTGTTAGAGCAATTTTTATAGCCTTTGGAAATTACTGTTCTGTCTTTTTATTAAGTAGAACTTCGGTATTTCATAATTGTGTTGGTGTATGGTGTCTCCATCAGCTCCTCTTAGGCTTCTTACGTCTAGGCAGTTTCTGATTTCTTGTGACGCCGTCGATGGAGACCCATGTTTATTTGTGTATTTTTTGGTATTCAAACGTTTTTGATTTTATAAGTAGGTTGTGGGACTCTGTAAAGTCTATTAACCTTGTTCCATTATCATTGCTGACATCGTGAAGACTATGGTTACCTATTGTTGGTTTGTACGCTGCTTCCTTCCAATTCTTAGCATTGAAATCTCCTAAGACAACCAATATTAGTTTTTGAATAATCACTAGCTGTGGTTACCCTTTCAAAAACTATTGCTGCTGCTTTACTATTGCTACTTCCAACCATTCTTTCTATAAAAAAAGGGTCTGGAATTAATATAGATTGGCACAATTTTTTTTTCTTTAAAAGGGAAGTAAAGGTTATTATCAAAATTTCAATAAAAGTTTTGTGATAATTATTGCAGCTTGAAAAATAATATACAGAAGGTCTGTACAAAATACGTTAAAGCAACATACAATTATTTGTACTGCTAATTAATAAATTTGCCTATTACATTATTTTTATTTTAAACTAAAACTATTGGATAAAATTTGTACATTACTAGTACCTAACCTCAAATTTTCTATTAATTCAAAACAATAAATGATTCTGATAAACTTTTTCTGTATAAAACTTGAATAGAATCCAAATTAAAGTACCACTTACCTAAACTGTGCTCCCTTCTAGATAAAAACAAAATTATAACAAGCAAATTTACTAGGTAGAATGAAACACTAAAGCCAGGTTTATAAACGGACATAGTAGGTACATAATCATAAGTCATAAACATAACTTTAACCACAATCATAATTCACAAGATTTAAGATTGGTTTATAACTAGACATAATACATAACCATAATATTTAAAAACTACTTCAGAAAATACAAACCTAACCAAATTTTTATAGATCTTGAAGAATTTTTTCTGGTCTTTAGATTCATAGAAAAGTGAAATAATTTTAAATAAATATGAAGATTAATAGAAAAGTTGCTTTGGCCATGGCAGCAGTCCCACTTTATTTAACAATTGTAGCGACTATATCTGCCAGAGTTCTTAACAAGCAAAAAAGAGTAAGAAGGTATAGTCTAAGACCCATAAATAGAAAGCGTGATAAGGAATGGGATGAGGAACAGTTCTTTAATTTTTTACGTTGGATTACACATGCGCATATTCCAACAATTCCATAGTGTTTAATACTTAATTCATAAATGTTGAAAGTTACCAACTTTGAAGGTCACGTTTTAAGGACTAAATTTATGTTTTATGTATTATGAATGTTTTTAAATGGGTACATTTATCAAGATTATGGTTAAAGACTAAAATTATGTTTATGTCCGTTTATAAATCCGGCTTAACACACTTCTTGCTTTGACTTAAATCAAATGAAAACAAACATTGCATTTTTAGGCGCGCATTCATAAGCCGGTGAATAAGTTGTCATAAACTTGTCAAGTTGTCAATTTTTATGTGTATTATTGCTTTTTCAATTAACCCTTTGGTACATGTAGATCCATTTCTACCTCTCGGTTCTATTGTCTTGATTCTTTCGTTGGCTTGTAATAGTTTTTTTATATATTATTTTCACATTCATTTTCTCTGCACTTTCAATTATTGTTTTGTTGTTTTCAATATGATGTTTGTTTCAATATGATAATTGCAAAGCATGGCGTTCAATATTACAAGTAAAATTCGATTCGTTATGGGTCTAAACTCTGACTAATCTTTCGGTTTGTTTGTTGATGACAAAAGCCACTTCATTACAATTTTGTGTGTTGTTGTCTCCAAACTTATAAAACACGGAGTTGTCTATTACAATTCTGCTACTGTTAGGCCTTTTAACTTTACTACATCCAAGGGTGTCTATTTTTAAGACTTGTATTTCTTTTATCAGGTTTTGAGCGTTTCCTTGTTGGTATAGACTTTGGATATAAGCATGTAAGATCCGTTATTTATTTTTTTGCCTGTACAGTTTGGCCACTTGTTCTAATATGAAATTTAAAGAATTGTGTACAGTTCCGTTCTGGTTTTATGGCATTTCTTTAGTAACGTCCTGTGGCTGTGCTAGGGATCTTTATGCGGATTATTTCTCCAAGCAGGACAGACTGGGTGAGGAAGTTCTTATTTCCTCCCCATTCCGTGCTATGTGTATACATGTGTTTTGACCATATGGAAATTTCATTGAAAATATTTTTTATATCAAAAAACATATTAATACAATTTTTTTTTTTATTTTAGGATACCAATAGAGATCATCCGTCAAATATAATAATGATCGATTTCCAACTATCTTTTCTACATTCACCAGTCATAGATCTAAGCTACTTCTGGCACTTTGTAGCTTCCACACACGAATATCCTCATCTCGCAGAACTGTTGGAATTTTATCACAAAGAACTTTCAATGAGTCTGAAACTTTTAGGCTGTAACTCGGAGGAGTTATTTTCTCTAGATACCTTATGGACGCACTGGAAGAAGTATTCTATATATGGATTTATCCAAGCGGTGCTGTTTACGTATTTATTATATGTTGAAAAGGATGATTTGCAGAAAATAAATGACGGGTCTCAGGGAACCAAAGTTCAGAAACTTGTTGGTGTTCAGCTAAAAAATGACGAAGCTTACGTACAAAGAATATCAACATTAATTGATTACTATAAGCTAGATTGAACTTTATTGATATTTATGATTATAATATATTTTTTTATACTTATAGTTTTTTGTTTGGATTTTAACATTGGACATTATTACTTCTCTGGTAGTATTGATTTTACATTTAGATTAAAGTTATATTATGTATAAGTATTAAAAAAAGTTGTTTTTTTTTGTTAATTAATTGATAATGCTGGCAGCTAAGACATCACTGAAAGTCAAAAAGTAAAGTGCTGAAAAGTAAACGATAAGAATTTGGCAAAAGTCTTTGCCAAAAAAAAACAACAGCAAAGTTGTGGTACGAGTAGAAGAGAAAGTGCAAGTAAAAACATCTCTTAGAGGTCAAAGTAGCAAAGAAAGAAGTAAAGCACGTTGTAGCTACTACTAAGCAAAGTTTTATAAAGAGATGGAAACACGCAAAGGAAAAAAGGTTATACAGAATTGTGAAAGCAAGAGAAAAGTCAATAAATAAAGGACTTGACTCAACACTGACTTGACAAGAATGTTAAGATCCGATGTTAAAATAAAGCAAATATGGTATAAGTACTTTAAAAATTGCTAATTTAAACACAAGAGCGGAGAGATAAAGGATGCTAGACCCCAAATAATAATGCAATAATGTAGATAACTAGAGATAAAGTTGTCGAGGCGTTAAAAAGGATGCAGACTTGTAAGGCAGCACGGCCTCCTGGAATCCTTTTGAAGCTTTGAAGAGAAAGGAGATAATATAAGGATAATTGGGAAGAAAGGATGAATGCATGGAGGGAGAGCGCGAGGGGATTTTAAAGACTGTAAAATCAGTGATAGATTATATTATTAGTAAACAAAAATCTATATTGCAGTCGAATGATGTAAGAGTTCGCCGAGGAATAACATGTGGATCCGATCACTACTTAGTAAGAGCGAAAATTTTGTTCCCATTTAAGATAATGCATGGAGAGCAAAACCTAGAAGACAAGCAAGACTTGCAGACAGTGGACACTCCGAAGTACAACTTCAATAGTTTTATAAAATGATAGTACTAAACAGCTATACCAACGACGACTGGATGAAAAACTACGAGAAATAGAGAGACAAACATTTTCAGATATTTACGAGAATATTATTGCTAGTTTATACCAGGCCTCTAAGGAGACCCTCGGGACACAGCAAAACAAAATTAGTAACAAAATATGGTGGAACGAAGAAATCGACTATATGGTAAAACAGAAAAAAGAACAGCATCTAAAATGGCTAAATACAAAAAATACTGAAGACCACCAAGCTTACAAAGAAACCGATAGACAACTACGAAAAATGATAAAACAAGAAAAGAATAAAACATGGGATCAAAAATGTCAAGAAATCAATACATACATCGGAGGGACGCAATGTACAGAGGTATGGAATTTTATACAATCAGTAAAAAATACAGGAAAAGACAAAGCACACATACACACCATAAAACCAAGACAATGAAAAGATCACTATGAAAGCTTGCTGATAGAGACAAGAAAAGAATACCTAGCGAACTCCCCAACACAGTCAGTACATATACAAGGAGAGGAAGCGAGGGTAGATATCGAAATAGTAAGGAAGGCTGTAATGACCATAAAGAATGGTAAATCCGCTGGACCTGAGGGAATCTATGCTGAAATGCTTAAGAATGCAACTCATAAACTGTTTGAAAACTTAACTTATGTGATCAATCAGTGTCTAAATAGACACCCAGTACCAGAACAGTGGAGAACGGCATACATGTCCTTAATACACAAAAACGGGGACAAAAGAAATTGTAATAATTATAGAGGCATATCGGTAACCAGCACCCTGAGCAGACTGTATGAACGAATTTTGAGAAATATGATCGAGGAAGAATATAAGCACAATGAAGAGGAAGAACAAAGCGGGTTCCGTGTAGGAAGATCGTGCACCGATAACGTATTTTTTCTTAAACAAATAATAGAACATTCTGTCGGAGACAGAATCATTCTGTCTCCGGCTTCCATATAAAATGTAGCTTCTCCATTTTTTTAAATTTTAAAGTGTTTGTTTGTCTTTGTTTAGTGTATTTGTTATGTCCCAATTTACATTTATAACATTCTATTACTGCTGGATAGGCTACAACTGACGAAATGCCCCTGAGGATGATCTTGTGATCGAAAGTACTTGGGCAAGATTTGATTAACTACTGTGTTCGATATTTGCCTTGTGTACCATCAAAGTTTATCAGAGATTTGTTCGAAGGGGATGCCCAACAATGCATCTTCCAGCAGGATGGAGCGCCTTGTCATACGGCTAAGACTTCCATGGAATGGTTGAGAAATTATGATGTTACTATTCTGCCTTGGCCTACAAATAGTTCCGATCTAAATCCAATAGAAAATTTATGGTCAAGGATGAAAGTCTTAGTATCACGCCGAAATCCAAGCAACAAGAGAGAACTGATAGAAGGCATTATTCCAAACTGGTTTAGAGTTATTACACCAGAAGATTTGGCTCGTCTCATTAACTTCATGCCTCGCAGAATTGAATCTGTCCTAAAAAACAGAGGTTATCCTACCAAATACTAATTTTGTTGATAATAATCATTATACCATTTTTTTTTAAATATATCTACTAATAGCTAACAGCTGTTGTTTTATTTATTTTTAAATTTTTAGACGATTTGCTCCCTTAAAATAGATGTTAAATATTAAGTAGAAGCATGAAACGGTGTAATAAAATTATAGATACACTTATAAATAACATAAGTCTTGTGAAAAAGAGGAATGCTGATAACAAAACTAAAGTTTCCAGAATTTTGGCCACTAGTGTACTTTAAAAGTACTGTCAGATATTACCTTTACCTGAAACAATTTGGTGGATGAAAGGCTTAGTGGTATTAGGCCACGAAAAAGAAGAAATAATATACTATGAAGTGTGCTATGAATGTCATGTTGTTGTTGATATTGCAAGTATGTCAATAAATATAATTTTTAAATAAATAACTGTAATTCTGTATGTATACAAATAAAACCGAATCTTACATACGCAAACCTCTTAAAACGGGTAGTTTTTTGGTGGTGCGACAAGTACTGCTGACAGTAATACAAGAGAATATACGAAAAGCTAGAGGAGGGTATTAGTGAGACGCAGTTCGGGTTCCGAAATGGAATAGGTACTCCAGAAGGACTATTTGCCATCAATATATTGATTCGGCGATATCGGGGTGTAAATGTTGATCTACACTTGTGCTTTGTTGACTACGAAAAACCTTTTGATAAAGTAAGAGATAAAAAACTAATATCAATACTTATAAACAAGCGCATTGACAGTAAAATCATAAATATAGTGCAAACATTATATTGGAACCGAAGTGCCATAGTTCAAACGGATGGGCAACACTCAGAAAAAATGAAGATCTGTAGAGTAGTTAAACAGGGATGTGTTTTATCGCCCCTTTTTTTAACATATATTCTGAATAAATTTTCCAAAACACGCTTAATAATATCAAAGCGGAAGTTACCGTTGACGAAAAATTAATTAACAACTTACGATACGCAGATCATGCTGTGATTACAGCAACGAGTATAGAAGACCTACAACATCTTATCGAAAGCTTAAGTATGAATAGTGCTAAGATGGGAATTACTATAAACGCTTAAAATGAAGTACATGCTAATTACAAAAAGACCAAAAAATACACATCACCTATTGACAATCAATGGTAACGTGATAGAACTTGTAGAAAAATATCAGTACTTGGGAACATTAATGAATGAAACCAATGATCATACTGTAGAAATAAACAGACGAATAGAGATTGCCAGATCAGCATTTATACGAATGAAGCATCTCCTAACGTGCAAAAATCTAAATTTGGAGATCGGACTTTGTACTATTCGCTGTTATATATTTTCAGTAATATTATATGGAGCTATTGGACATTGAAAAATGCAATTTTAAAAGAATCGAGGCTTTCGAACTCTGGTTATACCGCAGAGTATTAAAAATATCATGGACTGATAGAGTTACAAATAATAAAGAAGTACTGGAGAAGGTTAGAATTAAATAGAATTTATGATACTGGTTACATTCCGCGAGAATGGCTGCAGTCATCCTTTGTGATGATCCCAAAAACAGCTAATGCCACAAAATGCAATGAACACCGCTTAATCAGTTTAATGAGTCACTTGTTGAAACTCTTCCTTAGGATATTACACTCAAGAATGTACAAGATACTAGAAGAACTTAGCGGGTCAACACAATTCGGTTTTAAGGGAGGACTAGGAACAAGAGAGGCAATTTTATGTTTGAACACCTTAATACAAAACTGCTTAGATCAACGAAAATATGTCTACCTCACCTTCATCGACTACGAGAAGGCATTTGACAATGTTAAACATGATATCATGATGAAACTACTACATAGGGCCAACATTGACCAGAAGGAGATCAGAATTATTCAGAATCTATACTGGAACCAAATGGCAAAGGTGGAGATTGATTGAGACCAATATACGGATGAATTTGAAATCCGGAAAGGTGTCCGCCAAGGCTGCATACTCTCTCCGATGCTTTTTAATTTATATGTTGAAAATATATTTGCGGAAGCATTAGAAGATACGGAATTAGGCATTAAGGTGAACGGCATACCAATTAGCAACCTACGCTATGCGGACGACACAGTGATTATAACTGATAATTTGGAAGATCAGCAGTTATTACTTGATAGGGTAAATAGCATAGGTAAAAAATATGGCCTCAAAATCAACATTTTGAAAACGAAATATATGGTCATTAGCAGAAACCCTCCAGAAAACCCGATAATATGCATAGGTGACAATCGTATAAATCGCGTGAAAACTTTTAAATACCTTGGCACCACAATCAATGACCAATCGGATCCACAACACGAGACAAAAACCCGAATACAAATGGCAAGACAAGCTTTTGTGAAATTCAGACCGCTCCTATGTAATCAACACCTAAACTTCGAAATACGCTACAGAATGGTCAAGTGCTACATATGGTCCATCTTGCTTTATGGTATGGAA